CAAAAGTTAAAAAATGTTTTCACTAACTGTTAAGAGTTTTCTGAAACATTTTATTATAGATAACATGAAAATGAAAACATCACAGACTAATTTGAACATAAGTAGTGTCAAGCTTAAAATGTATATATGTATATAATTTTTAAGTTTGATACTACTTATGTTACATATGTGTGTGTGTGTGTATATATTTAGTGCTTTTAGTTTTTGCCAGGGACTATCCTTAGCTTTTTATGATTTGCTTATTTAATCCTATGAATTAGATGAAGTTATTAACATTTTCATTTTATAAGTGGGAGGCTTGAAGATTCATCTCTGGAACTCTGAAACTTATTTTCTTAGAATTTAAGCATCTTTTCCAAAATTGCATAGCTGAGACATGACAGACTCAGATTTGAATTTATATCTGAGGCAGATGCCCACAGACTTTACCAGTATTTAATTATAAATGTGTATCTTAGTCACTCAGCTGTGTCCCACTCTCTGCGACCCCATGAACTGTAGCTCAGCAGGCTCCTCTGTCCATGGGATTCTCTAGGCAATAATACTGGAGTGGGTTGCCATTTCCTTCTCCAGGGGATCTAACTGACCCAGGGATTGAACCTAGGTCTCCTGCGTTGCAGGCAGATTCTTTACCATCTGGGCCACCAAGGAATTCCAATTTAATTATAAGAACTCCCCAAATCTAGAATTCTGAAAAAATTCATTTGCTGTCTAATTTTTTGGAGGTTGGGTATAATTTCACATAGAAACAATGTTATCAAGTTCCCTTAATTGATAGAGTAGCCTAAATTGACACAGAATTGAAACAGAAGAACTATACAGAAAAGATCTTCACACCCAGATAATCACAATGGTATGATCACTCACATAGAGCCAGACATCCTGGAATGCCAAGTCAAATGGGCCTTAGGAAGAAGCATCACTACAAACAAAGCTAGTGGAGGTGATGGAATTCCAGTTGAGCTATTTCAAATCCTAAATGATGCTGCTGTGAAAGTGATTTACTCAATATGCCAGCAAATTTGGAAAACTCAGCAGTGGCCAGTTTTCATTCAAATCCCAAAGAAAGGTCCGTTTTCATTCCAGTCCCCAAGAAAGGCAATGCCAAAGAATGCTCAAACTACCACACAGTTGCACTCATCTCACAGGCTAGTAATGCTCAAAATTCTTCAAGCCAGGCTTCAATAATATGTGAACCATGGACACTCAGATGTTCAAGCTGGATTTTGAAAAGAGAGGAACCAGAGATCAAATTGCCAATATCCGCTGGATCATCGAAAAAGCAAGAGAGTTCCAGAAAAACATCTACTTCTGCTTTATTGACTATGTCAAAGTCTTTGACTGTGTGGATCACAACAAACTGTGGAAAATTCCTCGAGAGATGGAAATGCCAGACCAGCTGACCTGCCTCTTGAGAAATCTGTATGTAGGTCAGGAAGCAACAATTAGAACTGGACATGGAACAACAGACTGTTTCCAAATGTGGAAAGGAGTACATCAAGGCTGTATATTGTCACCCTGCTTGTTTAACTTATGTGCAGAGTACATCATGAGAAATGCTGGGCTGGATGAAGCACAAGCTGGACTCAAGATTGCTGGGAGACATATCAATAACCTCAGATATGCAGATGACACCACTCTTATGGCAGAAAGTGAAGAACTAAAGAGCCTCTTGATGAAAGTGAAAGAGGAGAGTGAAAAAGTTGGCTTTAAGCTCACCATTTAGAAAACTAAGATCATGGCATCCGGTCCCATCAATTCATGGGAAATAGATGGGGAAACAGTGGAAACAATGACAGGCTTTATTTTTTTGGGCTCCAAAATCACTGCAGATGGTGACTGTAGCCATGAAATTAAAAGATGCTTGCTCCTTGGAAGAAAAGGTATGACCAACCTAGACAGCATATTAAAAAGCAGAGACATTACTTTGCCAACAAAGGTCCATCTAGTCAAGGCTATGGTTTTTCCAGTGGTCATGTATGGATGTGAGAGTTGGACTATAAAGAAAGCTGAGCACTGAAGAATTGATGCTTTTGAACTGTGGTGCTGGTGAAGACTCTTGAGAGTCCCTTGGACTCCAGAAAGAGCCAACCAGTCCATCCTAAATGAAATCAGTCCTGAATATTCATTGGCAGGACTGATGCTGAAGCTGAAACTCCAATACTTCGGCCATCTGATGTGAAGAACTAACTTATTTGAAAAGACCTGGATGCTGGGAAAGATTGAAGGTGGGAGGAGGAGTGGCTTACAGATCAGATGGTTGGACAGCATCACCAACTCACTGGACATGAGCTTGAGTAAGCTCTGAGAGTTGGTGATGGACAGGGAGGCCTGGCATGCTGCAGTCCATGGGGTGGCAAAGAGTTGGACAGGACTGAGCGACTGAACTGAAATTGACATCATTTAGTGATACTGCATTTTAAAATATTTGGTCTTAGGGACCAAAGTATTTCTGCTGTAGTTTTTACAAGGAGAGGAGTGCCCTTCTTTCTTGAGGAAAGAGAGCCATGAAGCTTGAAATGTTCTTTGGCCAAAGGGTTCCCATGCTGGATTCAGTCTGGTCACCACAACCCTAGGTCACCCCTCCCCCATCCCCAGGAACCTGGTTTGTGAAGGCGGTCCCGTTGCTTCTTACTAAAGGCCACTCACCAGGAGTGCCTGGCCCCAATTCCCAATCGGCATATATAAATCCCTACATCAGCACACCATTTCCTTGTTTAAGTGTTTACCTGTCTTCTTTTAACTGCAGGTAACTTGTCTCTCAGGTGGGTTAGCTCAGACCAGGGTACAGAGAACTTCCACCCTAGCTGAGGGTCATTCATCCAATAGAATATCAGTAAATCGCCCCAAGTTCCTTCTTGCTTGTAATTCTAAGTGTAGAACAACTCGCCTTTCTAGAGTGATTTCCAAATGAACCAAATTCATTTTTGATCATCAGATGGGAAATCTGGATTCTGGGAGATGGTATTCGTGCACAGACTGCAGTGAATATGCTCCAGTAATAGTTTATCATTCATGGGGGTTCTCAGAACATAGCAGTTAGCTGTATGTGGAGCTATTCTGGAATGTCCTAAATTTCAAAACTTTATCGCAGTATCTTTAATAGGAATATGTTCATTTGAATAGAGCTTTAAGTCTATGCAACCTGTTTCTTCCAGTTGTGTGGGCCATTTTAACATGTTTAATACAGTTCACCTTCCTTCTATATATGGCATGTTCTGTAAGCAGTTTGACTGTCAGAAATCATCTGATGATTAGCAGACATTTCTGTTACAGGAGAGAAGGGAGAAAGATGGAAAAGTTGGCACAGAGAGTATTTTCTGCTTTGATAATGAGATATCTTGTGGCTTCATGTTGTTAAGACTATTTTTCTCCTCTCAAAAATTGAAAGCAAATCTTATTTGCCTTAATTATCCTATTGTTGATTTATTTATAGGTAGCCAAATGAATTCATAACCCAAAGTGCAGCAGTGATTTAAGTGAGCACTTGGTCATAAATTCTCATTCCTCTGTGTTTTGGGGTGTGTTGGCAAGTTGGCATTGTAAGCTGATTATCTCTTGCATAATCAGAATTTAGTAGCTGAAATAACTAGACCTTAGGATACAAGATTTTCGCTCCTGCTAAGACACACCTCTTAGGTGTGTGGAACCGAGAATCAGGCTCACATATAGTCGAATTTCCTCACCCCTCTGATGATCAGTATAATTCAATCCTGTCATTGTTGACAGAGAAAGCCCCTACTATGCACAAGCCATGCTGCAAGGGGTTCAGTAAATATTTATAAAGCGATGAATAACTTTAGTGCTGTAGAATAACCAAACAAGCTCCACAGCAGACATGACAATAAGTTTGAAGGGTAGAAATTGGAAACCACTGAGCTTTTCAGCTGATCACAATCAAATCAGAACACATCAAAACAGCTGGTGTTTGGTGGCTTAGAATCAATCAACCGGTTTTGAAGCATCTCATACTTCTTTCTCTTTACAGTTTCATAGGAGAGGTTTAAACTAACATATGTCCTTTCCATTTGGTTAAATCCCTGCTTTGAGCTGCTTGGCTTTCATATTCTAATACCAACAAATGAAACTGTGATAGAAAAGGACAAAAAAAAAAAATGCCTAGCATTAAAAAGATTTTTTTTTTTAACCGATGGGTTTCTCCATTTGTATTAAATAAACCATATGCTCCCAATGAGAATGCCCTAGAAGAACCAGGAAAATTTTAAAGTTGCATTAGGGAACCTTATGCATTAGGGAATCAGGATATTTCTGCATCAGCAGTATCTATGTCATTTGTGAACACGGCCACAGCTTTTGCAGTTTTCTATTTTAAGTTTATCATTATATTTTAATGATAATGCAAATAATGATACCTTGGATGATCAAGAGTGAGTGAGTTCCAACAAAGACCTGCTATAGAGTACAAGGTTTTCAGCTCAGTGTTAGGTGACCAGCCTGGGTGGGAGAGGAGTTTGGGGGAGAATGGATACGTGTATGTGTCTGGCTGAGTCCCTTCACTGATCCTCTGAAACTACCACAACCCTGTTAATTGGCCGTACTCTGATGCAAAATGTTTTTGGTGTTAAAAACAAAGTAAAAAAAAAAAATGAGTTAGTAAGTGCAAGTTAAAAGTTATTTCTGTGTTTCGGTTTCTGACACCAGCTCTTCTCTTTGTTCTGGTAGGTACCTATTACACCATTCTTGGGCGAAGGTTATTCAGCACTTGTGACCTCTCCCCTTCGAACTCTCTACAAATTATTGTCTCTGCACTCCCAGCTGACACCCTGCCGGAGGCAAGAGCTACTAAGCCAGCTGGAACTGTGCCTTCTCTCTTGTCAAGGTTTTTTTCTTACACAGGAAAAAGAAAGAAAAAAAAAAGATGAAGTTGGGCAAAGTGGAGTTCTGCCATTTCCTGCAGCTGATCGCGCTTTTCCTGTGTTTTTCGGGGATGAGTCAAGCGGAGTTCTCAAGGTCCGGATCAAAGCCCTATTTCCAATCAGGGAGGTCACGCACGAAGCGCAGCTGGGTGTGGAATCAGTTCTTCGTGCTGGAGGAGTACATGGGTTCAGACCCCCTCTATGTAGGAAAGGTAGGGTATTTGGCTTTTCCAAGTCACAAACAATTCTTGTGAATGCCTGTGGTTGAATGGAGAGCGGCTCATTTTTCTTTGGAGATGAGAAATGCAGAGCTGTCCTGAGGCTTCTGGCATTGGTTAGCCAGGCTGGCACAGTCATCCAGGTGTTACTCATCCCGTGAAGCCACAGTTTAGGGAGTGATGCTTTATTCCAAGGTCCAGGCGAGACTTGTACTCACGTCTCATTTACCACGATGGTGGCATGGTAGTAAAACTGTTTCCAAAATCAGAGCAGGAATGCTCACTCAACAGCAGTCCCCAGTGTTTTTGGTGCTTGGAACTGGTTTCATGAAAGACAGTTTTTCCTTCCGACAAGGATGGGGGACATGGTTTGGGGATGATTCAAGGGCATTACATTTATTGTCTGCTCAATTTCTCATCTAATGCTGCCACTGATGGACAGGATGTGTTGGTCCATGGTCCAGAGGCCGGGGACCCCTGCACTAATAAATGAAGACTGGTGGGTTCTATGAGCCAATAGATTTTTGAGATTCTTTCTGGGAGTTAACAAGGCTAATAATGCTCATACTAACTTGAGGCTTACTATCCTGTTCAGATACTTGCAGTTGAAAATGGCAAAAGTGTAATTATGAAGACGGTTCTTTCTAAATCATGAGCGGTTCAAATCTACATTTCTAAGTGGTGGTCTTGTTTTAATGGACTATTAAAATTTCCTTTTTAAAATTAACATTTTGGTTAAAAATGAGCATGAACAGAGGTCCACGAGAAGTGATGTTAGACGAATGGTGGGCAGTTTGGGGTGTATTTATTTGGCGGCCAAGTGGTGCCCAAGTGGAGATTCTTTACCAGTGCTGCTTTCTGTCTGCATGTTTGCGTAGTGGTTTCCATTCGAGCACTTTCTGAATTGAAGGGTACACTTCAGGGCCTGTGGCCTTTCCCCGACCATCCTGGTAATGTGTTCCCAGTTCCTAGTTTGATGCAGGTTTGACTATGATCATCTCTGTGAAGATGTCCTGAGATTTTCAACTTGGTGCTGAGCCCTGGTAAAGGGTTTCTATAAGTAGAATGTGTTTGTAAGACATCTATACATCTGCATGTCTGCTTTTTTGTCAGTTTTATGCATCTATTCCTGGTAAAGTGAAGCCCAGCATACTGATGAATTTATCCCTGAGTGGATTTTCAACTGTGAATGATTGAAGGAGAATCTTTGGTATTTGTTTCACGGTTCATTGTTTCATTTGAATAGACCTTGAGTAAGAGTGAAAAATCTGTTTTTTGTTGGTAGGTGTCTACATAAGTCAAGGTGATCTTTATTATATATATCGTCTTCTTTTTCTTTAAATGCCTCTATATTGTACAAATACTGATACTGTGTTGTAACAAAGGACTTCAGATACGTTAAAGATTTCTAGGGACGTGGATTAGGAAATTTTCTAGCCTATCATAGCATGTTTCTGTCCTGATGAAGGATGTGCATGCATGTGTGCTAAGTTGCTTCAGTCGTGTCCGACTCTTTGCGACCCCATGGACTGTAGCCTACCAGGCTCCTCTGTCCATGGGATTCTTTAGGTAAGAATCCTGGAGCAGGTTGCTGTGGCTTCCTCCAGGGGATCATCCCAACCCAGAGATCAAACGCTTGTTTCTTATGTCTCCTGCATTGGTAGGTGGGTTCTTTATCACTAGCGCCACCTGGGAAGCCCAAGAAAGGATGTACACAAGTTATTGTGTGTGTGTGTGCATATGTGTATTTTCAGAGCCAGTCTGCTTTTATCAATAGCACCATCCTTTATACTTGCTATGTACTAAATCTTTCCATCGCTCTTATTTTCTTGTAAATCAAGTGAAAGCATTAACCATATGCAATGTTAGTGACCTTGAATTTAGCTCATAATTTCATTCATTTTTAATGATGAGAAATTCATCAAATTTGGTTGAATGGATAGGTCTATAATAATTCATCTATTTCATAAAGGACCAGTGAAAAGTGAAAGTGTTAGTAGCCCAGTCATGTCCGACTGTTGCTGACCCCATGGACTATAGCTTGCATGGCTCCTCTGTCCATGGAATTCTCCAGGCAAGAATACTGGGGTGGGTAGCCATGCCCTTCTCCAGGTGATTTTCCCAACCCAGGGATCAAACCAGGTCTCCTGCATTGCAGGCAGATTGTTTACTGTCTGAGCTACCAGGGAAGCCCAAAGGATCAGTAGTTATTAGTTATTATTATTAGAGTAATTATTACTACTATCAGTAGTTATCAGTAATGAAAGTGAAAGTCACTCAGTCGTGTCCGACTCTTTGCGACCCCATGGACTCTATAGTCCATGGACTTCTCCAGGCCAGAATACTGGAGTGGGGAGCCTTTCCCTTCTCCAGGGGATCTTCCCAACCCAGGGATTGAAGCCAGGTCTCTAGCATGGCAGGTGGATTCTTTACCAGCTGAGTCACAAGGGAAACACAGTAGAAATCACACTTTTGCACAAATGTAAAATTTTCTAAACATAACTAAAATATGCCACTAATTTGGTTTTAAATGGAGTTGCTTGAGTGAGATTGACATTTGGAAATGAAGATAATTTAAAATTTTAAAAGACCTCATGTTTTAATTTTTATAGTCTTCACCATAACAATTCAGACTGCTTCTATCAAGATAATATGCATTAAGTCAATTTCAAGTTATGAATGCATGTCTCTAGGTTACTTAAGTTCCAAATACATGCAAAAGTCCTGGGCAGTGCCATTACTGTTTTTCTATTAATAAGAGAAATTGTGTGGTTCCTTGATTAGGTAGGAAATATTCTGTGTTTTCCTTTCAGTTAATTAGAGACAATCGTCTAGCAGACTTGATATGGCAGGAAACAAGTTGGTGCTTGTCTCTTGAAGGCTGTGGATTGGGAGTTCAGCAGTGCTCTTCACAGTAAGATGTTCAGGATGGAAACAGGTTTTAAAAAACACTTAACTGATTAAAATACAGAAAAAGGGCAATAAAGTAATTTGAGATGGAGAGAGAATTTATAGAGAGGAGAGACAAATGAATGTGAATACTCAGTAGACTTTCTGTATGAGATGATAAAATGAGTTTTTTTAGGTTAGTATCCTGAATGGGCAGAGTTAAAGGGAAATTTTGACCTCAGGACAATTTTTATCACTTGGATGCGTACAGTGTGTGTGTGTGTATATATATATATATATTCTTTTTATTTCTTTTTTTTCTACCTTGAGGGAGGCTATGACCAGTTTTCAAAGACAGTATAGAAAGTTCTAGATTAATATGCAGAAAAATAGATAGGCAGATAATGGATTTCACAAATGCATATTTAACATATGGTGGTTAGATGGCTACACTCTGAGTCTTCCTGAGAAAATTGAGCTGTTTAGGTAATTTGGAAAATGTAAATGTTGACCTTGATAAACTTAATAGTTTAACTTTATCACAAAATGAATATGTATTGTATGCATCAAATTGACTTTGGTCTGATTGCTGACTCGGGCATTTCCTATTAGTTCTATGACTTAGGTAAAGTTGCCTTAATATTACTAAATTATAGTTTCCTCATCTTTAAAGTAGGAATAATGATATCTGTAAATCAAGGGGTTTTTTTTTGTTTGTTTTTACTGAGAAATAATGAGATAAAATATTTGGAATATAAATTAGACATCATATTTATCTATTTCACTACATACTAATTATAAATTAACCAGGTTGTGGATAATCTATTGTGTTATGTGTCCAGTGTTATAGCTGTGATCCTTCAGATAAAAGTAGACATTATTTTATGTCTTAAATAGTATTTAAACTTATTGCAATTAATTATAGGATTAGTTCATATTGGATGTGCTTGGCGATACGTGTCTTGTATAGGATAAGACTATGACATACACATGTGGGTAAATGATTCAGTCCTTAAACACATGGACTTAAAATGTCAGATCATGTCTAACATTTTTTTTACCTTCAAAGTTGAAGATGATGTTAATGGCTGATGGCCAAAAAGATCAGCTAAATTAGTCTACAGTTAAATAAAATTTGATCTTTAAGGTAGGATAGTGAAGTCACATGATGGCCATCATGTTTTATTTTAGCCAGTTTCCTGATTTTGATAACTCAAGATGAAAATAGAACAGTCTGTTGAAAGGGACCAGGAATTCTTCCAGAATCCTCTGTAAGAGGCCTCCAGGACACACTTTTGGCCTGGGTTAGAATCTGACCTTTATCATGAGCATCTCATTGTTTTCTTGTGATTCAAATTGACAAGCCGCTGAGTCTTAGGTAAGCAGTCATTACTCTGATGGAGCTTTTTTGTAAGTTAAAGTATAATTGATGTATTTGTGCTCTGTTGTGTCTGACTCTCTGCCATCCCCATGGAATGTAGCCTGCCAGGCTCCTTTGTCCATGGACTTTTCCAGGCTAGGATACTGAAGTGGGTTGCCATTTCCTTCTCCAGGGAAATCTTCCTGACCCAGGGATTGTCCCTGTGTCTCCTGCCTTGGGAGATGGGTTCTTTACCACTGGCATCACCTTGGAAGCCCCATAGTTGACATACTACATTGTATTATTTTCAGGTATACTGTATAATGATTCCCTCTTTGTATAAATTGAGAAATGATGACCACAGTATGCCTAGTTGACATCCATTGCTCTACATAGTTAGAAATTCTTTTTGTGTGTGTTGAGAACTTTTAAGATCCACTCTCTTCACAACTTTCAAATGTGCAGTACAGTATTATTAACCAGTCACTGTGCTGTATGGAGCTCTGTAAGTAGTGCACCTTTCCTTCCGAGGAGTATTTTCTTGCCTGTGTAGCAAGGCACATGGGATCTTAGTTCCCCTACTGGGGATGGAACCTGCGCCCTCTTTACTGGAAGTGCAGAGTCTTAACCACTAGACCTCCAGGGAGGTCCCCAAGAGTATTTCTTAATTACAGCTGTGTCTCTTTTCTTGTCCTTTCGTGGGAAGGATGAAGGTAGAGATGACCTTCTTTTCTCTTCTTCCTGT